GACCGGCTGCACATTGCTCTCCTGGCGATAAGCTCTGGAACTTTCTGCTGAACTGCTGCCATCTCTCTGTCAGCGTAGGGGGGATGTGGGGCGAGTATACCCTCCTCTCGGCTGGACGGGCTGCCAGTCTGGATCTCAGCTGAAGGTTGGTTCAATATCCCCCCAAAACCGACTTTCCACTCGTTCAAGAGTCTGCGAAGGAAAGTGCAGATGTTTTAGTTTTGGCATAAAAAGGCTGGTGGACTCCCCAGCAAAAAACGCAGAGCGGCTGGCTGACCTTCGCTGGCACAAGCTGAGAACACTACCAGGATGCAAGAGGGCACCATTGCTACAGCAAGCTACACAAATTTGATGAGGTTGGACTCACACAAATTGGCGAGCGGCCCTACAAGATGGTGACTGTATGAAGACACTATGGGGCCAACAGCTTCTCAGGCACCTACCGCTGTTTCTTATGCTGGTTGTCCTTCATGCCAACCCCGTCCTTCGTTTTGCGGGCGCTCACTTTTGATGCAAGAGCAGGAGCTTGGACATATGTAGACCCTAAATATCTCCATCTACGCAATCAGTTTAGTTATATACATTTCAGGTGTGTGTGTGTGTGTGTGTGTGCGTATGCGTGTCAGTGTGTGTGTGTGTGTGTGTGTGGGGGTGGGTGGGTGGGTGGGTGGGTGGGTGGGTGGGTGTGTGTGTGTGTGTGTGTGTGTGTGTGTGGACCTCTGTTACCAAGAGGAACCGTTTTTGAAACACGTTGGACAGTTGTGCTGAATTACAGAAAATTGCAGGGGGCAGAGGGTCTCATTTCACGGCCTCTGCCAACGAAGCTCCGTGATATTGAGACAGGTAAACGTACCTGCAGTGGTCGGCATGGGCACTTTCGTGCAGCTTGTGACCACACAACTGTTGATTGCGAGTAGGAGTGCAGTGCAGTTTCATGTGCATGTCTGGGAGATTTTGCCTTGTACAGTGGAAAAGTCAGAGATCAAGTGAAGATGAGCCTTGAGGCCAGATAGGTACCGGACCCCCTGGAAGCTTCATGCTTTCGAGATACATCAAGCTGTGCTTGATAACCAGATTGATTAGTGGCTGCGCGATGGATGTCTAAGTGTGTCCCAGGTAGTTACAAGCTGGTCTTGTATTCGTTTACCGCGCTACCTGCGGCGGGGTTAGCCCGTGCGAGTACCTGCCAGGGTGGATCTGATAAAGGCAGGGATACATTGTTTTGGGCCCGTCGTGGTCCTCACAGGTCCGACTGAATTTGCTGCTCCGATGGTGCAGACATCTGATTACTTCAGTCGCGATGTTTTCTCCGCTCCTGACTTAATGTCAGGTTTGATGCCAGGTTTCATTGCAGGTCCTGAATTTTTGCAGATCCGATGGAACCAACGGCTTTTCTATCCGCAGACCACGATTTCAGCTCCGAGACACAAGCCTGTAGCAATCTTTTGCGATCATGTCGTGGACCCGTGAACAAGATTGGGCCAAGTCGTCCTGGGCTAGTTCGTCTTGGGAGAAGAAAGGATCGTCGGGTTGGAACAACCGTGACTGGCAAAAATCCCCTCAACAGTCTGTTCCCAGCACCAATGTTGCCATCCCATCGTCTTTTACCAGTGACTGGGAGTGTTACGACAAGAATGCTATTTCTGGCAAGAAGTTCTTTCGTAACATCCAATCCACGCCCTGGTCTACGAAAGCTGGACTGGCTGGAAAAGATGTCGCCGATCTTCGTGTCTCAGACCTGACGAGAAAAGGTCTTGATGACTTCAGTCTCCGCTGTTTGTCCAATGGAGAATTTCAGAGCTTAGTATTCGTGAGGTCGATTTCAGAAGCAGTGTTTGTGACTAACCTGCTTCGTCACATTCGGCAAGACCGGATTGATCTTGATGCCGTGGCAGCAAATATGCACGGCCCAGCTCCGCCTGACAAGCACAGGGAGTCTGCGAGATTTATGCAACCATTGCTTGGCGAAATTGTTTCAACAATCAAAGCCAATTCGCCTCCTCCGGCGGATTCAAGCCAGCAATCGCCTGAGAGTGAACAGCTTGCTCGTGCGAAGCGAAAGTTGAAGGAAGCTGGGATTGCTCTTACTCCAGAGAAGAAGCAGGCCAAAACTGGCCCAAAGCCCACCGCTTCACCTTCACCGTCAGCTGAGCAGATTTTGAATGCGGAACTCCCGAATCCGCCGAACTCTGTTCCGAGTTCCAGCTCCCCTGATGTTGTTGAAAAATGGCTCAAGAAGCATCAGAGCCAGTTTCGTGGTCAAGCTGCAGCTTTTAAGAAACATGTGGCTGATGTTTGCTCTGTGCTGAAAGATTCAGCCACTGATCGGCAAAGCCTGGCAGATCTCGCTATCAAGTACGGCTTGAAGAAAAGCCATGCCAGCAAGATGTCATTCACCAATTTGTCTTCGTTCATTGGTGCATGTCAGTTTGAATCAGCTTGACTAGCTACCCAAGCAAAAACGGTGCAACATCAGCCGATTCAGGTCCGTAAGAGGCTTGCTTCAGCAGTGTGCACGCTTGGTACAGCAGCAGCTTTCATGTTGGAGTTTGGCGATGGAATACCCAAGACTCCGCTGATTTGGGTGCATACATTGATGTCGTTGGTGTTGTTGTTTTACCTCAATGCACCCAGCCAGGATGATTCACACAGATTCAAGATTGTTCGGAGATTGCAGCAGTTCGGAGTGGATCCAGATACTCTGCATTTTTCTCTGTTTGAGAAGCCGAACACTGTATATTGCATTTTTCAAGTTGATGTCGACATGGGTCGATTTCGTTCGGGCTACCGTCAGCCCTCATCACTTCTGTATGTGGGAAGCACTGCTGTCGGTGCAGCCAAGCGGCATTTGAACCGCATGGCAGTCTACAGAAGACTTCAAAGAACCGAATTTGTGGATGCAGAATTGTCCCTGAGATATTGGGCATCCCAACACAACCTTTTCCAGTTTGTGCTTGTTCCGCTGGAATTTTGTGACAGCTACCAGCGAGCTTGGACTGTTGAGCACGAACTCATTGCTCAATGGCAGGCACCTTTGAATTATCCCAGAGCAATGTCTCTCATTAAGAAGACCGCTCTCGGTTTCCGAATTTCGTCCAAACGCAGAGGGTCATTGTATTGCACCTTTGGCCTCCGACTTTGGCGCAAACTGCGAAAGCGCATGTTTGGTCGCAGTTCGAAATTCTTCATTCATGACTCTCGGGAGTTAGCCTGGGGGCTTCTGTTTAAGCTGGCATCGAGAACCCGAGCATCCTTTGAAACAGCGAAGCTGCTCCGATCCAACAAGACGGCTGACGAGGAAGTGTATGCCCTCATCAAACTCAGTCGCAATATCGAAAACCCTCATCGCAACAGGGTGCAAGGAATACTCAAAGGTGTAGCCAAGTTTCGCAAGAAGATGCACTGGCCACGGACTTCCCGACCTTTGGGAGTCCTGCCAACTGCGTCTCCTTCGTTTTCCAAGGAGTGCGAGAAGTGGTTAAAAGACCTCATCCTCCGGTACAAGTATCTTTTTCCATCTTTTCATGTTCCAAAGAACAGCCTACGTGAAGTTCCGCACCAGAGTATCAAGAAATTTCTCCACAACTTCCGATCTTGGGAAGAAACGATGTGGGAGCACGACTTTGATTTGGAGTCGGTGCACTGTCCGTGTGAGCAGTTTGCAGGAAAACTTCCTGCTCATTGCTTCGTGTCTGGCCACGTAGCCACAGGTTTGGAGAACCTGACCAAGCTACTACCAGGCTGTTCGAGCATCTTATCGGCCAGTGCCGCGAGCACCTTTTTCCCAGGCCGCAATCACTGGATGGCCAAGTCCAGAGCTCTGTTTGATCAGTGGCTCAAGAGACACAAGCTACCAGCGACGTTGCATCCAATTTTTCAATCCTTTTGTGACCACCAGTGGCAGCAACATGTTGCAGCCCTGGAACAATCAGACAGACTACACTGGGCTTTGGTACAGAAGGTGAAGTCTGCCTTGCACTCGGATTTTGTTCTGTACAACGAAGATCATCATCCGAATCATGTCGTGTGCTATTGTCCTCGCTTCTTCCTTCGAGGAGTTAGCACCACATGGAACGATCCCTCTGTGTTTCGTACTCTTGATGGTACCCCTGAAGAATGGAGACAGCGCATTTTGAAGCGCGTTCCTCGAGATCTGTCCAGAAGATACGCCTGGGCCTTCAAAGAAGCAGCTCCGCTGCCTCAAGGCACTGTGTTCCTGAAACGGAAGAAACAGTTTGCCAAGGGACGGACCATCATTTCGTATTCCAATTCGTTGTGCAGCAAGCTATTGGAGCTGACCTCCATTGCGTTAACCTTAATGGTCAAGACGCTGTTTGCTGACAGCCCAGGCATGCAGAGCATGCCACAGCTCTGGAGGTCTCTTCATGCTTATTGGGCGAAGCCCAGCCAAGAGGAAGACGTCGAATGGAACGACGATCTCGTGGGATTTTTCAATGCAGTTCCCCGAAAAGACATCATGCACGCAGTGCATTTGATTGTCCAAGAATACTGCCAAACTTCTGGCTGTTCGATCCTCTCGATCGATATGTTGTCAAAAACGGGACACCCGGGCAAACCTCGGGGGAGAACGAAATCAAACTTAAAGAGGTGTTGGGTTTCTGATGTTCCGCTGATTGTGGTCTATCCTTCGCCACGGGAGTTTTTACAGCTGCTGGAAAGTGCAGGCAGCAAGTGGAGGGGACGTGTATAGGCAATCAAATATCGCCGATCCTCTCCGGACTTCCTGTACTCCTGGCCGAGCGGCAGTTTTTGCAATCTTTGCCGACGGCCATCCAATCGTCTTTCTTGTTTCTCCGTTACGTCGATAACAGACTGATTCTGGGACCTCAGAAAATTCTACTGTCGTCCCAACTCCGGAGATTCTGCGATCCTAACTTTTATGATGGGATTCAGTTGGAAACTGTGTCAGACCATCAATGGTTGGGTTTTACCATTTGCGCCAAGACTCGCTCAGCAACTTTTAATCTCCCGGAGCAACCATGGCAGATCCGCTCGCCCAACAGCGCTGGATCGTGGCAGCTGGCAGCCTCGGGATACTTTTCTCGAGCATCTTTGATTCGCCAGTACTCCTGGCCCCCCGAGTCAAGACCGGGACAACTTCGCAGACTCAAGCAACTGTATGTACAGGCAGGTTTTCCTGTGAATGCGTTGCAATGAAGTCAGCAAATAAGTCTGTCGATTGAGAGTTTCGCTGCCTCTTTGCAATGTTTTTGTCCCTAAATGTGCACGTGAGCTACTGATTCAGTACCATAGCTGCATTGGTTTTCAGCTGGATATCGGCCTGTTGGAGGAATATTTCAACCCAGAGCCATGGCCCAGCAATACCATTTTCACTTCTACGGAGGACCCCCTGGAGTGCAGACTTCAAGCGGACCGCAACCTCCGGTTACAATTCTTTCGACTCCTCAGGAAGCTAGCAGAGCTCGGTCGGTTTCGGTACACCCACCACCTCGAGCTCCGCTTCCAATTCAACTCACACCGGGGGAGCCGGCCAAGTCTACTCACCCCAGCCGTGAGCGTCATGATCGCAGTCGCTCGAGACGACGACGGCGTCGACATCATCGGCATGAACGTCACCCTGAGGGACCTCCCGCGGCCCCAGTTCGACCAGTTCTGCCTCCCCCTCAGCCTCCTACTCGACCACCAACAAGGTCGGTCAGTGCTGTTCCTCCGATGCGCCCACCTTTTCGTTCGGCCAGCTTAGAAAACATGCCACCCCGGCCTAGACCGAGATCTATTGAGCCGGCTTCTGTCCGTTCTCGGCCTCATGAAAACAAAGGGCCCAGCAACAGTCCACAGCGACCGCCGGGGCAATGGGTACCTAGTGTTCCTGCTGGGAATCTGAGCCAAAGGCCAGTAACACCCAGAGTTCGAGCTCCTGCTTCGCATTCTCAAGCAGCTACTGATGCATTACATCAGGCTGCTCAAGCTTTTAGAGCTCCCGGCAATGCACAAAGCAAACCGGAGACAGGCCCGATTTTGGAGAACAAGGAGCCTGTCGCGGCAGCTGCCTCACCGGAGTTTCACAAGAACACGTCGCCCAAGACACCTCCCAAGAATCCGGCTCCAAAGAGCCCAGTTCCTCCTGCTCAATCCGGTTTGATTTCTGTTGATGAGGAACAGCTATTTCATGCTGCTCATCGCAGCAGCTATGAACAACTGCGAGAGCAAATCACAGCTCGAGCCAAAGGTCGATTTCTATGAGGAGGGAATGAGTTCTCTCTTGGCGTATATGTTCTTTGTTTTGCATTATCATGAGAATTTTCTCACAACTGAAGGCTTGCATACGTGGCCTATTATCCCACATTCTCATATGCGAAGATTCACTGATCGCATCACTTTTACTCGGCAATGTTCATTGCCAGTTTCCAAAATCCTCAAAGAGGATGTTGAGGATGTGCTGAAATTTTTGTTGACCCGATTTGGCCAGGCAGACCGACCTTTTCTGCCTGTGATTCCTATTGGCCAACGGGAGATTGTCACTCTTGCCCGGTCCATTTTGGCCAGCAAGATACCATATAAGGCAATTTTTCAGCATGATGCCAAGGCGTATGCCATGCCCCAAGAAGCATTGCATGTTTGGGAGTTTCCAGTGGCACATATGCCAGGACCTGAAGAGCAGACCAACTGCTATTATCTTTGGGGACACGGGACCACGGCCGAAGGCCTGGTCGGCATCCTCACGTTGGGCAGGGTCATTCGCTCTAGCGCCGAAGCTGTACATGTGGCGCCGCACGATCATGTGTGCTCCTTTTATGGCAAAGCCACACAAAACGTGTACTATGAAGAGAGCAAGTTAGACTTCGTGTCAAAACTGCACCACTCCACGAAGAATTCCGCAGGAGTGGTCGTTGGAGGATATCTTGGATCTGCGCATCACAAATCCAAATCCTCCAGTACTGTACATGAAGGACACTTGTGCAAGTTCCACCCGCTTGTACACTCCCCTTCAGGAGATAAGCGCTGGGCGGTACGTGAAGCCGCAGGGCGCATCGACAAAATTTGGATTTTGTCAAGCACCCACTCCATTACGTTGCCGATGTCCACCCCCAACAATCCCCGGCCGATTACTTTTGAAACGGGGGAAGGACAGGATTGGGGAGTCAGCTGGCCGGGCTTGGAGTACTCTGTACGAAGCACCGAAGCTTTACCGGTATCCGATGTACAGAGAGAGGCTTAAGATTCATGGAGTCTGTCATGCATGAAAAAAAAGACTGTTGCAATACAGAATGTATATGCAGAAGAGTCTTGCATGCAATGTGTTCGCTTAGGTTTTTTAAAATCGCTCTGTTCAGTTCCAGCGTTCGGCTTTCAGCGGTACACGCCATGTCGGATCGATCCCGATCGCGTTCTCCGACTGTTTCGTGGCGATTTTATTGGGTCAAAATTCAAGGACCCAGTGGCAATGAAACGTGGTGGAAATCTTGGTTTCCCGCCACTTCTCGCTGGATTTCGGACCGTTTGGCTGCTGACAATCAGTGGCACCAAGCTTCTCAGACCACTTCTTCGGTGGACTTGAACCTCCCTACTGAGAGCGCCAATTCTTTGTCACCCCGAAAACGCAAGCGAGATGCATCACCGTGAGAGCTTTTGTCATGCTGGAACAGCAGACGACTCGTCTGCTTAATTCGTTTTCCCAATTGACATTTTTGGGACTTTCATCATTACCGGATTAGAGCGCCTGCACCACTAAAGTGGAACCGTCTTTGCGCATTGCAAAACAACGCGTATGAGCGTGACGCTCAGTTTTATGTCTTTTTCGCCTTTTCTCTCTCCCCCTTCTCTCTGTCTCTCGTTGAGCCGAAGGCGTGTTTTCCTTTTTTACTCATGTGGTGCCGCCAGCCGTTTCCGTCTTGATTACTCGACCCACCGGCATGGCTTCCCGTCAAGACCACGGGGTACCATATGATGAACTTCCTGATGATGCTAGCTCCTGGTCTTCGGCTTTTGATCCTCCCAAAGACTCGGCACCCACAGAGGTGGCGTCTTGGGTTAAGAAGTCCTCCAGCAAGTGCAAGAAGACCAAGAAGTCCAAGAAGTCCAAAAGGCTGAAAAAGGACCGGTCACCAAACAAGTCTCAGAAGTCCATGAAGTCCAAGAAGGACAAACCTGAGCGTTCGCCCGTTCCCTCTGAAGCGAGTGATATCACACTTGGGGATCCGATGCAGTTTCACCGAAATCCTGCAGCACGGTCGAAGGCTTGTGCAAAAATGCTGGTCAGAGCCAACCTCCGTTGTGCTTGCCATTTTTGGTATGTTGCACAGTGTCCCAACCGAAACGTTTGATTCTTATTTTGATTTGGACACCGGACGTGTACAGGATTACATGTCACTTGCTGGGAAAAACTACCAGTGATTCTTGGCATGACCTTGTGACCTGACTTACATTTTTTCTGTCCTGCATACAGTGAGAGCATTCGCCTGTACAGTTTTCCTGCTCCCACTCATCAGCGACCCAGTGTATGTGTAGCTTTATCCGCCATGAAACGAGATGCAGCACAAGCGTCGCTTCCACCCGATGGCGGTAAAGATGATGATCTACTTATTCTCCCTCGGACACCGAAACATCTGCCTCCGCTGCGGATAACCCGAGGATTTTGGATTGAAAATTTGCCTTCTGACGGCCGCCACCATGGTGCCACCGTTGCATGTTTAGACATTCCGGCCGAAGGCATTATCGACGACCTTAAAGAGGCTATCAGTTTGGAGTGGAGTCGCATCCCCAAGCGTGCGTTTAAACTCACGCAAAGCGGGACTCATTTACCATACTACGTCAAACTCAGTACTGTCAACAACACAGTACCATTGACCTTTCACTGGGCTGAGCCATATTCGGACGAAAACCGTCCTCGTTTGGAGTCCAGACCCTAGGTCGTTTCGCCTTAGTGGCTTACTGTGTGTGTGGACCTCTGTTACCAAGAGGAACCGTTTTTGAAACACGTTGGACAGTTGTGCTGAATTACAGAAAATTGCAGGGGGCAGAGGGTCTCATTTCACGGCCTCTGCCAACGAAGCTCCGTGATATTGAGACAGGTAAACGTACCTGCAGTGGTCGGCATGGGCACTTTCGTGCAGCTTGTGACCACACAACTGTTGATTGCGAGTAGGAGTGCAGTGCAGTTTCATGTGCATGTCTGGGAGATTTTGCCTTGTACAGTGGAAAAGTCAGAGATCAAGTGAAGATGAGCCTTGAGGCCAGATAGGTACCGGACCCCCTGGAAGCTTCATGCTTTCGAGATACATCAAGCTGTGCTTGATAACCAGATTGATTAGTGGCTGCGCGATGGATGTCTAAGTGTGTGCGCGCGTGCGTGTGTGTGTGTGTGTGTGTGTTTGCGTGTGCGTGTGTGTCTATACTACCTATTATAATGATACATATTGATGCAACGGGTCTCCTCGGCCAGGATCTCCCGAGCCATTTCTGTGAGCTGCTTCACCTCGCTCTCCGAGAGGTGCTTGCACTCCATGAGTTGCTCCTGAGCTGGGGCGGTGATGCGCAAGGTGGGGATGATCCTTGTTGTTTCTTGAACTACCGCTCTGGCTCCTGCTCTTCACCTCAGTAAGCATCAAAAATCTGTACAAACCTTCCTGGTCATCAGAGGGAGTTTTTGCTGATCAGGCATTTGTCTGTCCAGCTGCGGACTCGGCAACATTCGTTGCGCTGATCATCCGTGACTCTCTGCAGGTTGAAAGCGTGAACATGTTGACTGCCAACACGGACTATGCCTACTGCTGCAGTACTAGCTGTGATGGACATCTTGGTCCAGGTGGTCGTTCGACACTTTGCTGTTTATACTGCTGCTTCTGTTCCTAACATGTTCATGCCTATTGCTGTGTGTATGCCAGGGCTTATCCTTAACCTCGACAAAGGAATCGATGTGAAGTGGTTCTGTGCTGCCCTGAAACTCTATGGCGTTTGTTCGTTGCACAACAAGTTGTCTGACTCACTGCATGCCGCATAATTGCGCACACGTCGCGTGCGGAGCAGCTCAAAGGCCAAGGATCGATACATCTGTCGATATCCAGTCTTCTGGGGCTGTTGGGCCCCAGTTTCGTCTTGTCGGCCATGGGGCTCCCCCCCGCCACGGCCGCACATGGGTCGCCCGGATGGGCCCTAAAATCCTTCTGAGCCCAAACAGCCACAATAAAGAGATCATTCGACAGGCCCAGGAAGACGGATGGATCTGGTATCCTTATGAAAACACCTGTACTTCCGGAAAGCTTTGAATTTGCTCGTTTTTTGCTACCTTTCTTATCCGCCCGGCCTTCTCTCAAGGTCGCGAAGCTGCTGTGCCAGCTCCTGGCTAGACCTCGTACGCAGAGGCCCGGGCCGTGCCTGCCGCTTCTTTGTTTTGGCTTGCACCCTAAACCCTGAACCCTAAACCTTAAACCCTAGCCACTTATAAGGCCGCTGATCTGAAGCTCTTGGGCTCCGGCTGAGTCGAAGCTTCGGCTGCGGCCTCTACAGGAACTGCTTTTCACCATCAGGGACCCCAATGCTACAGGGTTCATAGCAAGCGAACATAGGGTCTGCCTCCAGGGCTTCCAGCTCTTGTCGGTGGCTTTGGTTTTCGTTGTCCAGCACCTGGTGTAGCCTCGGCAGGACTCGCCGGCAAAAGCAGAATCAGTTGCAGGAACTTGCCGGAGTCGAACCGCGGGATCTACACGCAGTAGAACTGCCCGGACACTTCGTACGAACCGAATCGTGAGGGGCACACATTCGCGGTCTTTGGGGCTCGATTGAACAGGGATCTAGAAGTCTGAGAACCCCTTGCAAACCGCAGATCCCTCGACTAGTAAATCAGCAGGTCGCGAAACCACAATCAGCTTCCAACCTAAAGTACCTGAAGCATGTGAGAGAAATAAAGTCCAAGGCTAACTACAAGTACACACACATGCAAGAATAAACGATAGACCCAGTACCACATCTGCAATTCCTACACATATGCGGACATACAGTGCTTGATTGCTGGAGTTCGTAAATGAGTTTCGCCTGCTGCGAAGGTTCGATGCAATTTGCGATAGCTCTGCCTTATCCGACGTGCCGCATTAAATGTGCACACCTTCCCTCCGCTCCAGTACCTGTAAAATGCTCAGCCAGATACCACAACGACTGCCCAGTGCGACCAGTACAATATGTGCGGTCGGCTCTTTTTGCTTGCGTCCGCTTTCAGATCTTTGTCTTGCTGCAGACTGCTCGCCAGTCGTTGGGCGTACCTCGGACACTCTGTTCCGTTGCACCGATGTCAGACCTTGCGACTAGACTAGTTGGCGTGGACTTTTGCTGCATACATGAAGCAAAAGGAGGCCAAATGTGCGCTAATGCCCTTCAGATCTTAACGGCTTGGTGAACTGGGACTTGCCAGCTCTCCGCAAACGATCGACATCTGCGGCCTCATACCGTGGCTTGTGTAGTTCCAGCTGCCGTGCAGCTGAGGCGCAATCGAAGGAGCTCCTGTGCACGGGACTACTGCCACTGCGACAGTTTCTAGCGCCTTTGCTGTCCCACTGTGGCCTTTCGGCCATTGTCCCATAAGCAAGCCGACGGTTGCAAAAGCGCATTTCACGAGAGAAGGTTACTGCTGGAGACTTGCACAGCACAAACACGGCCTGATGTGAGATCGCTGGGCGACTAGGTGCTGAGCTGGGAGAATCGCTGCAATACGCATGAGAATGCATCTATACCAAAGCCACGAAGTGCACTCTCGTGTTTCCTTGGCAGCACCTGTACGCTGTAACAAATGTTCACAGCACTATCGCTGTGACGGGCTTGTCCTAACACCTGTCCAAACAAAACATGGCAAGCTACGATCTTCCAGAGCAGTGCATGGTGACACATGCCTCTCAAATCACTCTGCCCTCAGGGTTGGTAATTAGGCCGCCTCTGCCAGCGGTGTCACCGCGATGCGGTTCTGGTCTTCAGCACTCTTTGGGTTTTATGATGGAATTGTGATGACAGTGCTCAAAGTTAGTGTAAGTCTCTTGTGAAGGCTAGTGTCAGCGAAAAGTGTCCTCGGTGAGCTGGGGTGGATTGTAGTCCGCACCAAGCACCTGCCCAGGGCTGGATGTGGGCAATGGAGAGAGACGACATCTTACACCTTCCTGCTTCAATACGGATAATTACCACATGGCTTCTTCGATCCTAGGCCATATATATCCAATGATTCGGGAGTAGCGGCAG